CAGAATGATGTAGGTGAAGGCCTTCCACAGAGGAAGCCCGCAACAGGAGGTGCCATGCACCCTAGGGACTCTGTCCGCTGATGCATTCCAAGCACCTAGAACAGTGCTTAATAAACATCAGGGATGGAGTTGTCGGTTGTTATCATTGACCAGAATGCCTGGGTGTCAGCGCTAGCTTTATGACCACTGTAAGACTCTGGGCAAGATTCTGAGTTGGGTGAGCCTGTTCCCTGCCAAAGATAATGGCCAGACTCTCCGGGTTGATCTGAGGATCGCATGAGATAATCCGAGGAAGGTCTTTATCCAGCAGTGGCTCACAAACACTAGGCATCATAACTGCCACGAGGAAGGGTTTCTTCATCCTCGCTGTGCTGGATTTGGACCGAGTTTGGCAAGGTGATGTACAGGGAAGGAACACTGTGTTTGGGGGGAAAGGAAGTATGAGTGTTCAACCCAATCATCCTAGCAAAGGCAGTGTGCCTCTGCTGTCTGGGCTCCCTCTCTGTGTCGGCACAGGGGTGGGGGTGGTAGCCAGGGGCGTTAGTGAGCAGGAGCCTGGAGCTGTCTGAAGACCCTCCCTGATGCTCTGCAGTAGAGTCTAAGAGGAAGGCGGAAGGGCTGCGAACACCGATCAGTGTAGACACTGGCATTGCTACGTGTCTTGTAAGAGGGGCTCAGGTGGAGGGCTGGCAATTGGACTGGGGGTGTATGTGGGGAGGACCCTTCTCTTGTGGGAAGGGAACTTCACCGACACGCCCCATTCCTAGGGAATTCTGGTAAGTTCCCAGGGCCTTTGCACTGCAAGATGTATGACGTTGCGCTCTGCTGTGGGAGGAGATGGGCCAGCAGTCTGTCCCCTGTCTACTTCCAAGGAAATCGCAGCGGATCCAGGGGACAATGCCGGGATGCCTCTGGACTGGACACTGAGGCCTGAACCTCCCCAAACGGACCATCTATCATAAGGTGGATGAGGCTTGGCTCAATGGGTCCCTGGGAAGCTGGTCCATGTCCAGCCAGGCCCCCAGGCAGGGGTATTTTTATCCCAAAGCAGGGAGATCTATATGGGGGAAGCTCTCCCTCATGGGTAGCTGCTCGGGTAACATGCTCGCTGCCCATCTGCCTGTGCCGCCGCCCCCACGTCCCTCTCCCTACCACTCCTAAAGGAATGCAAACACTGAACAGACAGACTCCCAGTCCGCGCTGGCTGGAAGGGCCTCTGAGGGTGGTCACAGGCAAGGTCAGGGCCCTTCCAAAGATATTCTGGGCCGAGCACCTCACAGCAGCCTTCTGGCCCTGCTAGCTATAGCCCTCTCTCTTCTCCTGCTGCCCAGCACGTGTTGTCTACACTGATGGCCTACTTCCTCGACCCCCACCCCCACTACTCTCCCGAGAGTTCTCTCACTACAACCACCAATAAACCATGTGGTCAAACCTAATGGCCTCTCTCCAGGCCGTAAAATACTTGCTGTATCTTCTCCCTTGAACACCCCCCCGCCCCGCCAATCTCCAGCTTCTGGGAAACTGTCCCTCCTGGTTTGCCTCCCACCGCCCTGACAGCCCTTCTTCCACCCTTCCTGGGGGACAGCTCCTCTCAGCTTGCCTGGAGTTCTCCTGTTGGGAGCACCGAAAGTCCCACATCTCAGGAGTTCTCTCAGTCAGGGCAAATGGGGGCCACTGTTAAGCCTAGACTCACCCCTGACCCTCAACATCTCATTCTCGCTTCTCTTCTCAGTCTCCATGATGTCCTTGGGGGTCTTCACCTACTTCTGTGGCTGCAGCCACGATCGGGTGGGAATGATCCAGAACCATGAGCCAACTTCCCACAGGGCATCTCTGCTTGGATGTCTCCTGGCAACTCAAACCCACCATGCCTCCATCTGACCTCACCATCTGAGGCCAAACTGCTTGTCCTTCTGGTCTACCGCTGCAGTGAGGGGCTTCACTGTCCACCCAAAGTTACATGTTTTCTTTCCTCTTAACCAGTTTGTGACCTAATTTTACCTCCCAAATCCCTTGACTCTCTCCAAATATTTTGATCCCTGCCGTCACTCCCATGCTGCAGGTCACCACCATCTCCTGTCATGATCAGGGCCTCGTCTAGAGGGAATGTCAACTGGGGTCATCCCTGGATGGTGAATATTATGGGTTGAATTGTGTCCCCAAAAAGGTTTGCTGAAGTCCTAACTCTGGTACCTGTGACGGGACCTTACTTGGAAATAGGATCTTTGTAGATGTAATCAAGTTATAACACCGCACCAGCCCCGGCCCCACGACTTCTGTTTCTCTGCCCTGGGGTCATCAGGATGGGCCCTTATCAGATACAAGTGGGGTCCTTCTAAGACAATGCCATGTAAAGACAGAGACACACAGGAAGAACAGAACCGGATGGCAGAGGCCGAGATCGGAGTCATGCAGCAGAAGCCCAAGATTGCCAAGAATTGCCGGCCACCACCAGAATTTAGGAAGAGTCAAGGAAAGAGCCTACCCAGAGTCTCAGAGGGAGCAAGGCCTTGATGACACCTTGAGTTTGGACTTCCAGCCTCCAGAGGTTATGAGAGGATAAATTTCTGTTGTTTGAAAACCACCCAGTTTATGGGGTGCCTGGGTGGCTCAGTCAGTTAAGTGTCTGCCCTTGGCTCAGGTCATGATCCCAGGGTCCTGAGATTGAGACCCAAGTCAGGCTCCCTGCTCAGCGGCGAGTCTGCTTCTCCCTCTCCCTCTGCCCTGCTCATGCTCTCTGTCTCTCTCTCAAATAAATAAAATGTTTAAAAAACAAAACAAAACAAAACCACCCAGTTTATATACTCTGTTATACAGGCAGCCCTAGGAACCTAATATACCGAAATGTGAGCCATTTTTATTTTCTTATTTATACTTTTCAGTATTTTAGGGATTATCCGTAGTGGAGACACAGATTTTTATGATTGGGGAAAAACATACTTATTCTTAAAAAAAAAAAAAAAAATCCTCACTCAACGAGAATCCTAAGCCCTCTATTGGATTATTGGATTTACCTCTGAGAATCAGAACTATCTGCACCCACACAGCTTACTGATCACATCACCGTGACTTTATTAGTCCATTGGCTTCATCAAGCCAGCTTTACTATTCCAGGAAACTCTTGCACAGGAAGATAAAAGTTGCAAATAAAATAAGTTTATGGTTCGTTTCAGGGATTTGCAAAAGACATGTAAACAAACATCAAATGATTCGACTTTTTAACAGATAGCACCAAACGAGTGTCTACTCTCCAAGGCTCTCCCAAACCCTGGCCTTGCCGTGCCCACTAATCCTTAACTCCTGTAACATGATTCTTCAGGGTCTTAACACATTTCCCCATCTCAAGCAATTTTTTTTTTTTTTAAGATTTTATTTATTTATTTGACACACAGAAAGTGAGAGAGAGAGACAGAGAGCAAGCACAAGCAGGGGGAATGGCAGGCAGGGGAGAAGCAGGCTCCCTGCTGAGCAAGGAGTCCGATGCGGGACTCGATCCCAGGACTCCGGGATCATGACCTGAGCTGAAGGCAGCCGCTTAACTGACTGAGCCACCCACGCACCCCCCGATCTCAAGCAATTTATTTAGTCTTAATGAAAGACCCTGAACACATAGATATAACCTATCTTTGCCTTTGCCTTTCTGAGATGTTTCTAAGACTCTGCCAAGGGAGGGAATTCTTCCCAAGGGAAGCAGGGACCTCAGCTCCGCTCTACCAGCAGGCTGATTTGGTGGTATTTGCAAGCCTTCTGCAGCTAACATATCCAAAATGTTGCATTTACTGAATGCCTTCTATGTGCAGAGACTGAGCTAAGCACTTGCCACGTACCCTTTTAGGGCATCTGCTAATTGAACTGTTAAAGAGATAAACTGAGGTATATTAAATGTTTTAAGAGTTTCTTTGAGCAGAAATTGATTCCAATCAGGCAGCATCCAATCTAGCAGATAGAAAGGAGCATCGATGAGTTTGCACCAAAGGAAAGACTTTTACAGCCAGAAGGGAGCAGGACTAAGGACGTTATGCTAGGCAAAAAAGCAGGTTGGTTATTGCAAGGTTACTTTCCTTTAGGGGAAGGCAGGGGTCTAGCAGGTGGATTACCTAACTAGTGCTCATCAGGGGATTCCTGACTGACTGGTTTAAGATGCCATTTCTGGGAGAGCTGCGACTGTAATTAAGTCTCGGTTTGGTGACATGAGACTTAGCATTAAGTGCCTCCATTTGGGGCCTGTTGTCTCATTTTTAACAAATCCCAGGCAGTTAGAAATGATTCCCATTTTGGAGCTGCGGAAAGAGACTCAGCCCTATTAAGTGGCGTGCCCCAGGCGGCACCATCAGTAAACAGCAGAGCCTAGGAAAGCCTCCTCTCCCAGCACCCTTCCGCCGCTGCAGATCTAGGGAGATTGGAATACAAAATACACACATTCCAGTGTCTGGTTATTTTGGGGAACCAGTGGTATTCTGCTCCCGATTACCTCGATAACTGCTTTAAGTGGACAGACTCCACTCTGCCCGGAAGACCTCACTGGGCAGGCTTCCTGAGGGGAGTCGCTATGGAGGCCACTCCCACCGCACCAGCCCCGGCCCCACGACTTCTGTTTCTCTGCCCTGGGGCCTGGAGAATGTTAACCGTGAAAGGCAGACGGTGGAAAACAGGCAATTATTTCAGGCAGGCACATTTCCCACAAGGCCCTGGTGCAACAAGTTAGCAGGGAAGAAAGAGCCGGACCCTTTGTATAGCTGCGGGAGCACAAAGCTCATTGTTATGTTTCTGAATCCTCTCTTCAGATGCCTTGTGGTCCGGACTCCACACCAACCTGCAGACCAGATTCTTTTCTTCCCCCTCAGTGGCAAATGTACATATTTGCTTTAGAGTAGGCAGAATTTGCCCATGGGTGGTCTTCGATTTGGAAGAAATCAGCCCGAGTGGTGACTCACAAAGAACAAAGGTGGTTTGACTCACTCCGTGCTGGGCCAGGGGACGTCTGTGCAAGATTCACTTACCCAGAAGAAGAAGTTAAAGACGAAGAGTAAATACTTCAGGTAGACGATCAGCCAGTCGTCCTGCTCAGCCTTGGAATGGGCCATGGTTGCTGGGCCTGCAAAGAAGTAGATACAGGGGGCTGGCAGGGGGCCCCATAGCAAACCACCTCGCCCTTCCCAGAGCCAGAGCTCCTTCCTAGCCTGTTTGGCCAGGTGGGTCTGAGGCTGTGGGTATGTAACCTGGAGCAAAGAGCAGGGAAATGCAAAGGCTATCGGATGCACAACAGAGGTGAACTGCACAGAATTTTCTAGACCCTTTGGATCTCGGTTTTGCCCTTTTGCCATAACTCCAACCTACAAGTCTTCCTACAGTAGGAAGTGTTCTTATTCCCCTCCCCTGTCTCATCAGGGTTGCAGGGCACAAATTTACCTGGCACTCTGCATCATTTGAACGGGACCTCTGTGTGCACAGGTGAGGCATGAGCCCCAAATCAGGTGGTCCACGCTGGAAAGGACGTCAACCTCATCCAGTCCACCCCAATGGTCCCCTGCACCATGACTTTCCAAATGAGGAAGCAAGGCAGCAGGCCCAGGTGTTTGGCAGGAAGAAGTACAAGAGCTCTGGAGTCGGACTCCCTGGGTTCAAACCCAGGTCTGCCACAAGATACGTGAGGCTTTTGGCCAATCATGCAACCTCCCATTTCTCAGTGTCCTCGTCTGTAGCAGAGAGAATAATGAAGCCTACGTCACAGGCTTGTTTGGAAGATTAAATGGGATCATCTACGTGAGGTGCTCAGCAGTAAGCGCTCAGTAGATATTAGCTATTATTAGTAGTGTGTGTGGCAGGGATTAGGACCCAGGCCTCCAGCCCCAGAATTCCTAGTTTTTGCCCTGGAACCATGCTCCCTCTCCTTGTCCTGCTGCCCCCTGCTGGAGTCTCTGGGAACCGTGTGTGACATCAGTGGGCTGAAGCAGGCAGGGGAGGCTCACTGTGCCCGTAGTCCTGTGTGCTTCTTGGTGAGTCTAAACAACAGCCCTTGTACTTTCTGCTTCCCCTGGGCTCCATTTCCCCCAGGCACCCATCCATGGCCTAACACTCACAGAGTAGCTGCTCCTTGAGGTACTCGCTCTCTCGAGGGGACCTCTTACTCTAGAACCACAAGCAATGAGGCACTGGTTTTGCTCACTTCCATTTCTTTCTCCCTCATTCCCCACCTCCGGTTGGGCCCTCCTTGCCACTGCCCCGCTCCTTTTCCTTGGCCGGTGCTGGGCCAAGCCCGGATCATTCCTCCTAAGCCACCATCCTGCCTTTTATTTCAAGCTCCTGGGCTCCTAAGACAGGGAGAGGGAGAGGGAGAGGGAGAGGGAGAGGGAGAGGGAGAGGGAGAGGGAGAGAGGGAGAGAGAGAGAGAGAGAGAGAGAGAGAGAGAGAGGAAAAGGTGGCTGTCTTATTTGGGATTTCTATTTGCAGAACTTGAAGAAGGTAATTTAAGAGTTTTAGTCTTCTGGTTAAAAAAGGACAAAACCCATTTTTCTCCAATTTCATCTGAGACGCAGTGCAGCGGAAAAAAAAAATACAGAAGGAGGAAAAAGGAAGCCTACAAAAAAGTGTGAGAAATGGTGACAGATGGGGTCAGCCGGGCAACTGGGATAGGAGCTATTATGTGGCCATCCTGCAGGTGCCTGACAAGAGTGTCACCGGGCCACTGCGGGCCATGACTAAATGGATGGTTTGTTTGGGGCCTGGCCTCTCCTGTCTGCATCTCTTCTCCCTTTGCCTCCCCCTCTCCTCCCAACCAGGGCCCACAGAACCACGCTACAGACACTTCTAGTCCTATAAACCAAGGGGTCAGGACCCTCTAAAGGAAAACTATATTTCTAAAAAAGGAGTTGAGGCAGAAGATGGGATTTAACAAAAAGAAACATTTCTATTGGTAAAATTTTCAGCCATTAGTGGTAGAGAAGACAGAACCACAGAATGTCAGGGTCATGGGAAATGTTGGGCTCATTAAGTCAACCTTCTGCAGAGGGAGTGGGGAAATTAACACTCTCTAAAGTGACGTGGCTAATTGGTGGTAGCAGTCCCCCAGTTCCCCCACTGCATCCCCACTACAGGTAGGGCTCTGTGCTGGGGCTGCCAGAGGTCCTGAAGAAGTGTCAGTACCAGCTTGGAGCCAGATGCTTGGATCTGAAAGCTAGTCTTGTCATTTATTGGCTGTGTGACCTTGGCTAAGTTACTTAACCTCTCTGTGCAGCTAACATTTATTGAGCATTTATTATGTGCCAGGCACGGAACTAAGTGCTTTACACGTGTTATCTTATTCCATCTTCCCAACAGCCCTAGGAAGTACAGGTTATTCCCATTTTGAAAGATAAGGAAACTGAGGCTGAGCCAAGTTACATAAACTGTCCAGAGTCACACAGCAAGTAAGCGGCAAAGCCAGGAGAGAATGCGGAGCATCTGACTTGGTCCAAGCTCTTACCCGTTGTGCCCTGCTCTCAGGGGAGGGGATGAGGAAGGGCCACAGATGGCTGGTTTCCTTAATACTTGTTCTCCCCTTCTGCCTAAGGACTAGAATCCCTCAGTGTTAGTGGGTACTAGCCACCTGGAGCAGGTATTTCCCCGCACCCCTTCCTGCTCGGTGCGGCCAGGATTAACTGCTGGCAAACGGCACGTAGGCAGAAGGGGTGTATGCAGCTTCCGGGTGCGCATGTTTCACGTGCCATGAAACTTGCCACTGCAGGGTGTGGAACTCTGCGTGTGTTCATTAGGCCCAATTTGTTAGCAGCACTTTTCACATCTGTATCCTCCCTGATTTTGTTTCTGCTTGTTCCACTCTCTGTTCAAAAGGTATATTACAGACTCCCATGTGACTCTGAATTTGTCTCTCCTTCAGTTCTGTTCTTTTTGCTTCACGTATTTTGCAATTGTTTTATAGAGTACATACAGATTTGGGGTCGTGATATCATCCTGGTAGATTGATCCCTCTGTCATCAATAAATGTCATTCTTTATCTCTGATAATCAGAAATATCCTTAGACTGAGGAGGGGGCATGTCTCTCCTCACCCTTTCCTTCTTCCTGTTGCCTGGAAGGCTGATGAAAGGACTGCGGCTCAAGCAGCTACTTTGAGCCATGAGTTGAAAGGGCAGAGTCATCAGTTTAAAAAAGCCTGGGTCTCAGATGGTTTTGGAGTACAATCTTTCTCAGGGAAATCAGCAATCACAAGTTTCCCTTCTTTTCAATGCAAAAAAAAAAAAAAAAAAAAAAAAAAAGCTCCTTTACCCTAGGCCTTCTTCTGGCTGATTCCTTAGCCTTCCCATTTGAAAATATCTGCCTGAATCTCCTGTTCCTCCCCTCTCCTGGATCTCTAACTCACCACCATCCTGCACTGATGCCACTCTGCCACAGGTGAATCCTCACTACCTCATGTCACTGGGATCTCTCCCAGCATGTGGCACTGTGGCCCAGCCCCTGCCCCCTGGCTTCTGGGACCCATACTCCCCTGCTCTCCTAGCCTTTCCCTTGCATGTCAATCTCTCACATGGCTGCTTCTTCCACCTCCCTGGGGTGGTTCCCCCGCTGTCTCTTAGTGGTACTCACTGCCTGCCTATATGTGTCTGTCCCCTGCTCAGCATCCCTGCTGCCACTGGTCTGGTTCAGACCTCGTCATCTCTTTCTTGGACTTCAGCACTAACCTCTTAACTGGTCGCTGGGCACCCATCGGCCCCAGCCCATCTGCCCCTGAAAGGGCTCTCTGAAATGCAAGTCTCATTAAGGATGGCCTCACTGAACATCCTCCTGTTGTTGTGCACCAGCTTTGGGACATCAAATGCCACTACCTCTACTGCCTAGTGACCCAGGATAGGCGGACAGGGAGGGTGAAGCAACCAGCCTCCTAGGAGGGTGGGCACTCCTAGCCCACTTGCCAGATGGTTCGGGATGGGACCCCTGGCAGACGGAGAGCTGTCCTAATGGACACCCCTCTCCAGGACCTTGCTTTCCTGGGCCTCCCCTGTGGTTAGAGAGTACTACATGGGGGAGGGGCGGAAGGGGGAGGGGCGGTGGGAGTGGGAAAGGCCACAGTAGCCCCTGGAGAGAGAAAAGCAAACGCATGCTACTTGACCTGCCAGGAGTGGAGGAACCAGGGCTTCTGAGCCTCCGAGACCACGTTCACTGAGCTCTGAGGAGTGTCTGAGGATTTGCGGGAAACAGACTACCTTCCTAAGTGGGTTTTATTTCTGTCTGGGGGAGTCGGGCTTTCCGAACCCATGGGAGGAAGTGTCCCTAAGCGGCAAGAGGAGACAGTGGGGGCAGGCAGGGCAGAGACACCTCACCCCTGCCCCCACGGAGGAGGTAGTTGGCATTTTGTCATGGGGTCCCAGACTAGCCTGAGTACAAAGAAGAGGGGACGGTGTCTCCTAGAGCCCCGCTTCAGCCAAGCTGATCTCTTCACTGGCCTCTTACGAGACCTGCTGCCCCTCCCTCTGCGCTGTGGCTCCACTGTGCCTGCATCTGGGGCACCAGCTCCTCGCTGCCTATCCACAGGCTCCAGGCTCAGCGGGGTCCCCCCAGCTCCAAAGATGGCCGTCCCCACCTTCCCTGCCTGACCCCAGGGCCCACTGACAACAGCAACGGGTTTGGGTCCTTTTTGGTGCCTTTTTAATCTCCTAGCAAGCCGACTGGTTCGACTTCGGTGCGTCTGCGGCACCTGCTGCCTGAGCCAGGCTGCTGAGCTGCGCTCAGAGGCAGGACTCCCTGGCTCTGGCCCTTTCTAGCCACTGGCACTCGGGCTCCTGACTGCCCTTCTCTGGGTGTCTGTTTTCCCATCCACGGGGCAGGGCCGTGGTGTTCCTGCACAAGTGTCAGAGTTATCTGCTGTGGCTAATGACCCGGTTTGCCCAGGACTTACCAAGGGATTTTTCAGAATGTTGGGCTTTCAGTGCTAAACCCGGGTCACCCCAGGCAAACTGGATGGTGGGTCACCCTACTTCCAGGTGCTGTTGCTACTGCTGGTCCGAGGACCATAACCCTGCACAGTGATTACCCTTTGCATCTGAATAGACAGAACTGAGTGGGTGGGGGTGGAACTCAGGCTGGGTGCGCCCTCTTGCTC